CCCTGCTGCCACCCAACAAAGCCACCCCAAACATTTCTCTACTTCCCTCCAGAGTTGTAGCCACTGTTCCGGCCATCCCCACCTTGCCACAACACTCTTCCTCTCACTGCCACCATTAAAAAAACAACAATCCTGTTGTTTTCCTACTCTTGCAACCCCCTACCACTCCTTCCAAACCCTAGCCGACACCTCTCTACCTTGGACCCATCCCGTTTTAGCGTTGTGTGTTGTTTTTTGTTGTAATTTCAGTTTTCATTTGTTTGGTTGTACTTTCCTATTTGAATTCAACAATAATATTTGGTTCTTGTTGTTTTTTGTTGTAATTTCAGTTTTCATTTGTTGTTTTAACTATTGTTGTTTGGTTAAACTCCAGTTTCATATGCGTTCACAAAATGAAGTTTTTTTCTATCCGTGATTCGGAAATGCAGTAGAAACGGACCACCAAAATGACAATTACAGTGTCTTCATACCGCATTGTAGAAGGAAAGCGGAGCCAACCCAACCCTTAGCATAACAGGATAATTTTTGACACCCCTCATTTCTGGTAGGGGGGATTGGGATGGCTCGGGACTCTCCTTTGACCATCTTGATTTTGACTAGTGCTTTGGGAGGGGGTTTGTGAAGAGATGAGGATGCCGTGAATGGTGTAGGCAGTGAAGTTGAGGTTATTAATGACATCAATGATAACTAAGAGGAGGCTTTATTACTGACTAATAGGAGGGTTTATTACTGTTTTTTGGTAAGGATCAATCAGTTGCTGCCTAAGGTGGACTTATTTGCTTCCTTTTTCATTAGTGATTATCTTTCGTGCATATTACCATTCGATTTTGTTTTATAGAAAATGCTTTTAATTCCCAAATTCTTCCTGTTTGGCAGATTGGACAGTATATTTCTTCAAATGGTGGTGTTGTTACCGCTGAGGAACTTGCTCCTTATCTTGATGTGGAACCTATGGATAAAGCAGTTGTATGTGATCAGTTTCTATCATTTTGCTTTCTCTGCATGATAAAAAATCCTATATGTTTACTTCCTTTTCTTGTTAGTTTGATTTTTTGATGCATTATTTTTTTACTGAAAAATATATGCAGCATTCTCCTTATATTTACTTGTTCCATTTTTTTCCTGAAATTGTTTATCTGGATGTTTTTTGTTTTTTGTTTTTTGTTTTTGGAGAGAGAGAGAGAGAAATTTTTTTTTTTCGCACGCGCGCGTGTGTGTGAGAGAGAGTGAGAGAAGTTTACAGTCCTATATTATTTCAACTAAATAAACTGACCTTGCTAAGGTATTTTATTTTGTTGTTTCTTATTTATGATATACCTTTTGATTGGATATCGGTCAATTTTTTAAGTTTTATATAGTATTTTGGTGCAAATAGATAAATGTTATATCTTTTGATTGATGTGACGTTGG